CCTCATGCCAAGATCTCCTGCTTTATTTTCACACCTCGCTTGGCTGAAGATGATGCTTGCCAGGTGAAGTGTACCAACACGATCACTTCTAAAAACTTGAGAAGACTCCAGAATACATGCAGAAATCACATGTTTCCAGGAATAAGCTCAATTATGAGAATGATTATTTCTGTGATTGAACCTCTGATTACCTGATACAGCCAGGAAGTCATCAATAGAAGTGATGTCATCGACAGCATCCGTCAGCACACGGACTTGCTTCTCCCACTGCTCTTTGAAGAGATCCATGTTTTCTTGAGCCAGCTTGCTTTGGGGTTTAGCAGCCAGAGCCAGTGCAGCGTTAATGACCTGTAAAACACCTCTGGATTTTTAAAACATATCCTTAATGAAACAATTACTTTCCATATGTTTATCCAATGAACTCGACAGCAAACAAAGCCAGTTTAGTAAGTTTTCAGAAACTTGATGTTCAAGCACAAAAGTGTTTTATTCTGTTGCTCTCACATCCAACTCATACCTGCTTCCACATTTATTATGGTTAGTTATTAGAAGTAAAAACACTTGGCAAGTATTCACAAGAGCTAGCTTCACCTTTCTTTAACAGCTCATGTTAAAAAGGTGTTGCTTTCTGAATGCAGGTTGTGTTGTCAAGTATTTTAGACAGGATGACGTTTAGTACACTGGAGGCTGCATTTCCTAACCTACTTGCCAGAACCTGAGAAAAAAGGTCAAAAAAGGATTAATCTTACACAGTCTGAAGTAAAAACAATATGCAAATACAAAATTATTAAAGATAAATTTTTTATTTATCTTCTTCTCACTAAAGCTTTACTCTGTATTTTGCCAGTAATTGTTACAGTACCTTAAGATTTCTGTTATGGCTATGGAAGAGTCAGATTAGCCAGGGAACCGGAGGAGAAGGTACTATTTGATGCTTCTCCTGAATACCCCCTACTAATTTTCTTCAAACCCTCAGACTGTAATTTACTCCAGATTTTTGTTTTTCTAAGCAGAACAAACTGCTACACATACTGCTGGGTAACAAAGCTTATGCTGTGCCAACTAATTGGTCAGTTAAATGACCAAAAAAGCCTCTTTGGGTGTGGGGAAAAAAAAGCATTCTCAAAAGCCTGCTCCTGTTCTTGCTGCACTATGCTCCAGCAGAATGCCCTGGAAATATGCCAGGTGTGAGAAACCATCCACAGTCAGATCGACATAACAATCCCAACCTTGTTTTCAAGCACCTGAGAGTCAGGGCTAATTAACTTGCAAGTTCAATATATAATTTTTCTTCTCTACTTTAGGACTGTGTTAATTTCACAAAGTTGCCGAAAAAAGCATGCAAGCACCAGATGTTCCTGGTTTTCCAAAATCTACTTTCTCTACCTGCTTCATTTAAAAGCGTCACAAAGCATTTAAAAAAAATATATAACTTGCCAAACACGGAAATGATGGCGATGTCAAACATATCATGATGGCACTGAATGAATCAGGCAGGAGAAGGAGGTTGATTCACCCAAGGGATACTAGAAATTAGCAGTGACTGAGCAAAATCCACAGAAAAGCTATACTGCTCTCCATGCTATCCAGAGTGTATTGTACCCTGGCAATAACAACAGTGCCCCTGTCCTTCAGGAAGAACGTGAGGTCTTCTGCTGCTTCCCCTTCCTCAAACCAGCCACTGAAGTTATACCTTCTGTGCAGGCAGCTGCAGCAATCAGGACGTCCCTTCAGAGAGAGACCTGCTGCCAGCCATGGTCCACGCTGCTCTGCTACCCTCACTCATACTGCCCGTTAAGATCATGGTGCTCAAGTCCTGTAACCCTCAAAAAAAAAAAAAAAAAAAGCCTTGCAACACCCAAGGAAGTGATGTTTAAACATTTAAAATCAAACAGAAATAGAGGTTTTAGAATGGGAAACCTGTCCTCTGCTCAAGAGCCCTGACTCTTAAGTCTAGCCACTGCCATTTCTTGCCCCAGTCTGATGGATGCAATGAATTATCCACAAAATCTAGATATCCAAAGTTTTATGAAGATGAATCCAAATAACAAGTGTCCTGGAAACAAAAAGGACAAACGAGACAACATTCCAGAAATCTGCTCTTAGCTTTTATCCTGCTAGTAACCGTAACTACTGGAAGAGAGAAGACAGCGATACCAAGGGTCAGGACATCTTATCCCGCTCTCTTCTAGCTGCCTTGGCTAATATCAGGTATGAAAACATCCTTTAAGTGCTGAGACAGGTCAGCAGTAATGCCAAAGGAACATATGGCCTGTGTACCTGAGTGATGTATGTCTGGACAGCAGCATCTGTCTGAACAATTAATCTTTGTCAACAGCACATGTCCAATCCCAGATGCCCACATTAAGCAACTCTTCACTTGTAATGGAAGAGCTGTCACAGAAGGCTCTGCAAGTGCTCAACAAACTCAAACAGGGCATTGTCACCAAATCCAAATGCAGGAGGCACAAGCTGCACCATCATCCTCCTAACAGGCAGCTTGTCCAACTGAAAAAAGTAAATTTTTTTATACAAGGCAAATGTACTTTAAAAAAAACAGCCAAGCAAAACTAGCATGTAATATCTCCCTTACAAGCAGATGTGTCTTGTGTTTGGGAAGCAGGCGGCAGTGCTAGAGATGAGGATGACCTAGTGAGGAAATCAAAGGCTGCCAAGAGTCCCTGTGGAGTTAAAGACAAAACTACAGCTTAGGAAACCCACAGAAGTATTCGTGTGCTCAGGAAGGAATCCAAGACAACAGATAGAGCTCAACAGTCCTTTTTCGTAGCACATGCTCTAGCTCCATGTGCAAAGTGGTCACAACATTCAGTTTTAGCAAGAGTGGTAAAACCCTTCACTCTATGCACAGCTTCGCATTTATGTGCGCAAGTTATCCTGGACATGTCTCACACGTCTGCTTGAGGTAATGTCCCAGGGATTACTGACAAAACCCTGCAAATTATCTCTTCGACTAAATATGCTCTTACATGATGCCGTGTATCCAGTACAGAGTGACTGATTTATTTTCCAACAGATGCTTAGACAGACATGGGAAAAGGACAGAGATGCTGGATCTTAAACAGTCTGTCTATGTAGCAGGACTATGATTCCTTTATTATCTAAAAATTAAACACTTGGGGGGAAGGAGATGGAAGGGACTGATTAAAGTACAGTACTGCTTCTCCAAAAAACATGAAGCATTGGGCAATTATTTTAAAATATGAGTAACTCTTACAGGAAGGAGATATATAGAGAGAGAGTTCAAAAAAATAGGAATAACATGTCCAGACTACCTGAAACATAGCCACTTCCATGTAAAACATTCGGCAATTTCAGGGAAATATTCTGTATTTCAGAGCTTTTCAAAATGCTGCCAGAGCACTGTGATCACAATGACTCACTGAAGTCGTACAAAGAAAAGAATCAAACAGGGACATTTTGAGACTATCCAGAAGGAAATGAAGCATGGCAAGAAAACGCACTATTTTTATCGGTGCTTTGTTTCATGTAGCAATTGCAATGTTCAAGTCAGCCCAACGCTCGACAATGTGGTTCCAGCGTTACTTGGAGTCACTCTCCTCCGCCTCGCAGCTTCCTGCAGCAGCAGCCAGGACTTAGCAACGCACGCCCCGACACTGGGGATGCTTAGGATTCAGAAGACTTGCAATTGATGTCTCAATCTGTACCTCAAGTCCTCTTCTCACGTCTTTCATGGGAAGAACCTGCTTTTTTTTTTTTTCCCTATTGAAACTAAAGAAGTCAGACTGAATTTATATATTCAGACCTTTGCATCATCACTTGGGAGAAGAAAACCATCACCTATTTATTCTGCGTTGCAATCCCTACCTGTTGTACCTTAATATAGCCTCAGTGCACACAATGTAAGCCACATAATTCTCCATTTCAACAGCTATAAGCACTTTTTAATTTTTGCCTCTGTCTTTTTGATAGGGACTTTGTGCTCTTTACAGGAGACTCTGCTTTCTGCAGCTGATTTAACTTTGCCTTGTTTCCTGTAGCACTGGTTTTAGGATGCTACTGTGCCACAAAAAGGAGTTTTTCAGTTTCAAAAGCTCTAAACCAAACACCCAGTCTTCTCCTCGCTCCTCACTACACACCTTTTCTTCACAACCAAAATATCTGTGGCTCCTAAATAACTCACTTGGGTTTTAAATAAAGGTCTTGATTTACCAGCTTTCTTGTGGCATTTGGGTAATGAGTTGGAAAGCAGCTCCGTAGTCTTCAAATCCAGGATACTTTGCATTTGTAAAAAAATAGAAAAACAAAGCTCATAAACCAAGCACCCACTCATCAGCTATCATCTCAAGGGCAGAGGAAAAAGGGACATGCACAAATCAAGTCCCAGCTGGGATGTGAAAATCAGTTTTATTCTGGAGTATGTGAAAGGGAGCTCATCAAGCACACCGCAGGATCAAGTTTGCTTTGGGAAGAAGATCTGAGAGCGGGCAAGGGCAGAAGCAGTCATCTCAGCTTTGCCTTTTGGAGCAACCTCAGCTCAAGCCTGAGTGGAAGAAGTCTCTTATTCAACCTGCCAAAACTAGTAATTGCACTATGCAGTGCCCCTCTTTTGCTCTATTTTACTGCTGCCTCACAGAGCTCTCCTGATACGGAGGGCTAACTGTAAGGTAGAAGCAAAAACATGATTCTTGGACCGCAGCTTTGCAAGTGTTCAACAAATGAATTCATGACCTTACCACCAAAGCTACCACACCAGCTGAGCCCAGCCATGACTCTTCTCCCCTTGCCCAGGTGGATCTTAATACCCATATTTCTCTGTATTAAAGGAAGTATAGCTTGCTTACCGGCAGTTTGTAAGAAGCTGCTCATAATTTAATTTTACATACGCCAGATGCCAAAGTTACCTCCAGCGTTCACCCTATTCATGTCTCCTTCCCTGCTCCTAATTGCATTTTGCTCTGAGTGGAAAAAACTGTTCATAAGCAGGACATTTAAGTCGCTTCCAGTTACATCCAACCCCAGGTTTACATCCACATGTCTATGTGTGCCAGCCCTCTACATACTTCAATACAGCAAAAAGCACTCTGCAAACTCTGATGAGCTGAAATGCCTGGAAGCAAAACATACAGAAGACTGTTTCGCACATAATGGCAGCGACCAGCAAGTGTACAGAGGCTGATGCGCCAAAAGAAGAAGGAAAAGTTTGCTTTGATTTCCAACACTTTGTTCCAATGTATAAAAGGTACTCTGAGCACTTTCCTTTCCTGCAAGTTACACACAGAGTGACCACAGGCACCTTTGCAGAGATATTTACTGTTGTTGTTACAATGCTATAATGACCCACAGATACACAGTTTTACTGGAATAAC